AATAAATAAATAAATAACCTTTTTATTTAATCTGGAATTTTTTTTATAATTGGTGGGAAGTAAAAATCCCACAGTAAAGGAACAGAAAATGAATAAAAAGTGGGATGTCATGAATAGGATCTCATCAGAGGAATTATTCCAATATACAAGATTGCTTCTATATTTGCCTTTGGCTTTTTTTTCTTTTTTGCATTTCAATTATCTTTGTTTATTTTTCGACGATTAGAGATTCTTACACTTTATGTTTACTGTTTAAAATGCGCATTGTGCTATATATCTATGTTTTAAAATCTTCTGTTGGAAAATAAAAAGGGGGGATTTGAATGCTGGCAAAAGGGGTGGGTCAGAGGATGGTTATAAGAGCATAGAAAGGGGAGTGAATAGAGGAATTGTATGATATGTGGACACTTGAAAAACACATTCCCATGATAATTAAATATTTTTCTGTGAACTGCAGCATTTATTTAAATACCAAAGTACAATATAGAGAAGTTTGCATTAACCCAGGACAGATCAATTAGTATGGTTACACTTAGAAGTTAACAAAAGAGATTTTGAGCAGAACCCATTGATTCAAGGGATTCATCAGGGCTTCCTAACCTATAAAGCCTTTAATGGTTTGGAACAGATACCGGTATGTTTAGGATTGAATTATGAAAAGATTTATTAAGTAAGTAAGTAAGTAAGTAAGAAAGTAAGTAAGGAAGGAAGGAAGGAAGGAAGGAAGGAAGGAAGTGTCTTCTTCAGGGGAATGAAATATCCTGACTCTCAAAAGAAATGCATCCTTTGTTGGTTTAACACCAGGTTTCTTTGAAAAGCAGATCATTTCAGATTTTTAAATATTTAAGTTAAATTGTAAATAGTTACAACTTGGATGATTAAAAGTCAGTTTCAAACACTGGTGCGTTTTAGTCTTTCGGCTCCATAGAAGCAGATTGATCACACACAAACAGAAAACTATGTAAAAATCCCCCACCCTGAGACATTCTTCACATTCTTTTGATAGTCAAACTAGTGACAAAAGCTGTTGCTTGACTATCAAGAGAACAGCAACTGAACAAACTCCACCCTCCATCACAAGGCCTGAGCATCTGCTTTGTCAGCTTCCACAGACAGTTGCCAGCAACTAAGGCTGTTACTGAATTATTTCTGATTTTGTCCCAGTTAATCATGCCCTGGTTGCATCCTGATTAGGATACTCCTGTGGAGTCACCTTTGAAGATAGTTCTCTGAACATAGCAGCTCAGTTCTTGACATGAGCTGAAAACTTGAAGCACATTACAATAATTCTGTATTAGCTGCATTTGCTGTCTTATTTGCTTTGGCTCTAGTCCAAATTCCTGACCTATAAAACCCTTAATGGTTTGGAGCCAGGTTATACTAAGTAGTTTAGGCATCTGGCAGTGGAGCCAGAGGTTGGGATTCGATTCCCTACTGTGCCTCTTTGGCAGGGGTTGGACTCGATGATCCGTAAGATCCCTTCCAACTCTGTGGTTCTAAGTATGATTATAATTATACTTGAAGCACTGGTTCTTCACATTTATGTCTACAAATATTTTTGAGTTCAATTCCCAGAATCTCTTATTGTTGGCCATAATGGTTTGGTTTCTGAGAGTCATGGTCTGAAACATCTGGAAAGCCAAATGTTAGGAACGATTGAGTTAAATAACCTCCCATGCCTGCACAAACATGCTACAGCATCAAGAGCAGCTGGAGAAGTCTTACACGTTTATTCTAGGAAAGGAGGTGTCGGCCACCAGGTATAAGAGACAAAAGAGCATGCCAGAGGTTTTTCAGTGGTGTCTCCACATTTAAAAGGTGCAGATCCCTGTTCCCTTTTGTATCTTGGTTACTTTGATTTCTAGACCTCCTGATATACATTTGCTTTGGCTAGCAAGTTGCCATATTCAGTGTTTGACAACTTAAACACTCCAATCAAAAGCCCATTGTTGCCATATCAGATCTCTGTTGTCATGGGCAGAACTCTAAGGGTATATACAGAGTCCAAGTTCAGTTTTCTGTATCTTCAAAACTACACTCTGTGTACCAGGACTCCATTGCTGGGATGGTGGGGAAGGTTCACTGCCTTATTTGATCCATTTTCCCCATTCTGAACAACCATTTGCTTATTTTGGTACAGTATGACCTATACAGGTAAACAAGGGGGTAAAATGATTAGTCCCTATTGCAGCAAAGCAAAGTGTGCTGCTTACATACCACCTCATCGCTCTTAAAGCACTCCCCAGGTGGTTTACATTTATTTATGCAGGGTACACATTTTCCTCCCCCTGGCAAGCTGGATATTCAATTTACCAACCACTGAAGGACAGAAGGCTGAGTGAACCTTGAGCCAACTACCTGAGCCAACTGGGATCAAACTCAGGTCTTGAGCACAAGCTTTACTGCAGTGCTGCAGTTTAACCACCATACCACAAGCACATCTACTGAAATCAATGGGACTTAGAATTAGGGCCTCCCCAGACAGGAGAATTTGGAGCTTAAAATGTTCTTATCTGGGAGTTATAGTTTAAAAAAGGCACAGAGAAAGACTTGTTCAGACTTTGTGTAGGTGCTCCCCAGTTTGTATCCAAAATACAACCAGCCAATTTACTAGGGCTCAGAGGAGCATTCCAGTGGGGATAGTAAGGTGTACTGTATCTGATTATGCATTTGGGTATTTGGACAGACAAGGGTTTATACTTGTGAGAGCTTTCTTGTTGGATTGTTGCAATTATTAATGTCTGTCCAGAAGACTACAATCAGGAATATAGCTGTCCAACCCAAATACAACTACAGCATCTTTGTTCAATAATGACCTGCATGAAAATCTTTGAATTCCAAGACCATCTCAATGTAGTGCACTGTGGATGGAAGGCATTGCTCATGAAAATTCCAAACTACACACAGATTCGTGGGTAGCTTTTTCTTCCTAGAAGGTACCCTGGCTTTAGCAAATCTGTCTACTTACTCCCAAGAAAAGCTTCATCTCTACAGACTGATGTGATTCATTTAAAGATCTTACCACTGAAAATCAATAATTTGCTCTAAAAGCTTTGCTAATGTCAAAGATTATCTTTATGCAAGACAGGAAAGGGGATTAGAATACACTAGATGTGAGCTCATTTCCCCAAGGGAGGTGTAGTAAAGTTGTGGTATTGTCCCCTGTTTAAGAGGAAGTCTTCCTGTCTCGAAATGAATGACAGGAACTCAGGTTTCAAAGAGCCACCAAGGGAGTTGTACTATCAGGTTCAGAATGTTTGCCTTGCAGTTTTTAAATGCAACTGCAAGGAAGGAAAGTGCTTTTCATTATTATTATTTTCCAGATGGAAAACTGAGTTCCAAAGGTTACAAAATGATAACCAAACATAGTCGTTTTAAAAGTCAGATGTCATGTTCTGGAGAAAATGGGCTGTGGGATGTTTCAAAGATCCTTTCCAGACCAAGAATGTGGAAACCACATTTTATTTTGTACTAACGTAGAGCTGGTGAAATACATGATCCTCACTTAATCACTAAAGGAGGACATCCATTGTCTCACTACTTACACTTCTGTATATCTATATATCTATCAATGTTTGTGGCCAGGAAGTACTAAAGAACAGAGCAGCACAGAATTCAAATTACTTTATTAAAAAAATAGCAAAAAGATGAACAAAAGGTAATATACATATCTAATGTAATATACATACATAACACTGTTTTTAAAGTGTCACATGCATATTCACTACTCTAATACAGAGTTTAAAAAAATTTTCCTGGTCCCTCCATGGAGCCAAGGAAGTGTTTAATTTGCCAGTGTTGTGATATTGTGGCTCACTTCACAATATGGACAAATTAAAGGAGAAAGGCTTGCTTTGATTTGTTTCCAGCAATCATGCATGCTGGATACTGACCAAAACACAGCGATCCTAGCTGAACCAAAAAAACAGTGGCCAGAAAGAAGTGTATAGGACCACCTAACAGGCAGGTTGGTTCACTCCAATGAAGACATCATCTGATCACTCTTTTAGGAACAAACCAGCCCCTCCCTGCAGAAGACCAAACAGTAGGCTAAATGCCTGTGTGGTCTGTTTCTTTGTCATGCTTAGAGTCAGTCCACTGAACTCTTACTTTTGTTGTTGTTGTTGTTTAGTCGTTAATTTATGTCCGGCTCTTTGTGACCCCATGGACCAGAGCACGCCAGGCCCTTCTCTCTTCCACTGCCTCCTGGAGTTGGGTCAAATTCATGTTGGACGCTTCGGTGACACTTTCAACCATCTCATCCTCTGTCGTCCCCTTTTCCTCTTGCCTTCACACTTTCCCAACATCAGGGTCTTTTCCAGGGAGTCTTCTCTTCTCATGAGATGGCCAAAGTATTGGAGCCTCAGCTTCAGTATCTGTCCTTCCAGTGAACACTCAGGGTTGATTTCCTTCAGAATGGAAAGGCTTGTTCTCCTGGCAGTCCAAGGGACTCTCAAGAGTTTCCTCCAGCACCACAATTCAAAGGCATCAATTCTCACTTCCATACATCACTACTGGAAATGACTATGTGGACCTTTGTTGGCAAGATGATGTCAGTGTTTTTTAAGATGCTGTCTAGATATGTCATCACTTTCCTCCCAAGAAGCAGGTGTCTTTTAATTGTGTGGCTGCTGTCACCATCTGCAGTGATCATGGAAGCCAAGAAAGTAAAATCTGTCACTGCCTCCATATCTTCCCCTTCTATTTGCCAGGAGTTGATGGGACCAGTGACCATGATCTTAGGGGGTTTTTTTGATGTTGAGCTTCAGACCATTTTTTGCACTCTCCCCTTTCACCCTCATTAAGAGGTTCCTTAATTCCTCCTCACTTTCTGCCATCAGAGTGGTATCATCTGCATATCTGACGTACTCCTGTCCCAATTTTGAACCCATCAGTGCTCCATATCCAGTTCTAACTGTTGCTTCCTGTCCCACATATAGATTTCTCAGGAGACAGATAAAGGTGGTCAGGCACTCCCATTTCTTTAAGAACTTGCCATAGTTTGTTGTGGTCCACACAGTCAAAGGCTTTTGTGTAGTCAATGAAGCAGAAGTAGATGTTTTTCTAGAACTCTCTGGCTTTCTCCATAATCCAGCGCATGTTAGCAATTTGGTCTCTAGTTCCTCTGCCGCTTCGGAATCCAGCTTATACTTCTGGGAGTTCTCGGTCCATATACTGCTGAAGCCTATCTTGTAGGATTTTGAACATAATCTTGCTAGCGTGTGAAATGAGTGCAATTGTATGGCAGTTGGAGCATTCTTTGGCACTGCCTTTCTTTGGGATTGGGATGTAGACTGATCTTTTCCAATCCTCTGGCCACTGCTGAGTTTTCCAAACTTGCTGGCATATTGAGTGTAGCACCTTAACAGTGCCATCTTTTAAAATTTTAAATAGTTCAGCTGGAATGCCATCACCTCCACTGGCCTTGCTGTTAGCTATACTTCCTAAGGCCCACTTGACTTCACTCTCCAGGATGTCTGGCTCAAGGTCAGCAACCACAATCTCTGGGTTGTCCGGGACATCAAGATCTTTCTGGTACAATTCCTCTGTGTATTCTTGCCACCTCTTCTTGATGTCTTCTGCTTCTGTGAGGTCCCTACCATTTTTGTCCTTTATCATGTCCATCTTTGCACAAAATGTTCCTTTAATATCTCCGATTTTCTTGAACAGATCTCTGATTTTCCCCTTTCTATTATTTTTATTCTATTTCTTTGCACTGTTCATTTAATAAGGCCCTCTTGTCTCTCCTTGCTATTCTTTGGAAGTCTGCATTCCATTTTCTATAACTTTCCCTATCTCCCTTGCATTTTGCTTCCCTTCTCTTCTCTGCTATTTGTAAGGTCTCGTTGGACAGCTACTTTCTTGAATTTCCTTTTCTTAACTTACATTCGTCATGACTAAATTCTTCCAGTGATTTCAACAAACCTATTTTAAACAAGATTTCTGCTTCTACTCAATGTTTTAAACAGAAGCATGCAGAGCTATGACAGTGGTGGATAACTGATCAAATGGCATGCATTTAATAGAAGAAATTGGCCTTAATCTGATCTCTAGACATGGCAGGATAATATAGAAATTACGTTCTGAATGTATAGTGAAGAAGGCCTGGTTTTTATTCCACAGATGGTCCAATATTTATATGCCCGAAGATGCCTGTGCTTTCAAGATAGTACAGTCTCTGCTCTAAAACAACTCAAAGGGTCAGCATGAAACAAGTATAACACATGGCACTTCAATATCATAACTCTCCTCCCCCTGCCTCATGGTTTCCCTTAGCTAGGAAGAGAAATGTCATCTCAAGCTGAAAATAACCACATGCATATAATTTAATTTTGCAGATGGGTATGTCCGAAGAAGCTGCATAGCAGACGAGTAAGTGAAATATTTTCATCTTGAAGCTTACTGTGAGAGACAAAATTGTCAAAACCTAGTGGGGAAATGGTTATTTTTTTCCTTAGCCAGTTAGAGAATGGATAAGGTGAAACAAGGGGACTGATCCATCCCCTTAAGGAATGGGGTTTGCAAAGCAGTAACTTGAGCAGGTGTGGAGGTATGGGAGAGTGAAGCTGACAGAGCTGTGGTCTAACAGTTGTGGCTCAGCTGGAAGCTACTTACCTGCCTCATTTCAGCTGGGTGGGGCTTCAAGAAAGAGCTCAGCCTTACTGGAGGCCTTAGTAGAGGTGCAGCAACTGTAGTACTGTATTTGAAGTAACGAGTGGATGGAAGGGCCAACAGGCACATAGGCAGGTTTGGGTATCTTGGGTTTTCTTTGTTTCTGTGAGTGAGCAGTTGTAGATTGCCCTTGAGTCATTTTTTCCTATATCACTTTCCCTTTGTTTAAGTAAATGACTGGTTCTTGTTTTTTATCTAATAATAGGCTGGCCGTAAGGGTGCCTCCATGCTGGCCTTCAGCTCACTTGCACACTCAGAATCCAGGTCTAGGTTTTATCTTATGACCTGAGTTGTTGTAGGATTTAATTTCAAGTTTCTCCTTTTACCTTACCATGAACATCCTGCATAACTGCTTCTAATTCATAGCTGTAAGCTCATAATTACTACAACATAATTATTACAAATTACATGTAGGCCAGATGAGGTCTAACAAGCTGAATTCATCCCATGGTTAAATTTTTAGTAAACTGTTGCTTTAAAAAATTCTCAGAGACAAAAACATTTTTCAGTCTAAATAATTTTTTTCCTGATGTATTTTTACAACAATAATCATTTCTATAACTTTCCTCTTTAGTCGACGAAATATAAATGATCTCAAGGGCCCTCATCCCCAATATCTGCATCTAGAAATGTTCTGCTTAGAGAAACTGGTGGTAAACTGGGAGGAACTGGTGGCAGATGGAAAAGAAAAAAGTAGTGTGTTTTCCTACCTTAGACAATGGGACATATTGCACCACCTCTATTCCAATGTATCACTTTACCATCTTCCCAATCATTTCAAGAATGTTTGCCCCTCATCTATTTCCTTGCAGATTTTGTCCTGTAGCTCCCTCCCCTTTTTCCCCCTTCAGAAACAGCTTTTCAAATACTTAGATAGTGTATGACCTGAGTTGTTGTAGGATTTAATTTCAAGTGAATATGCACAGGAGAATTCTGAATAACATATTATCAAATCTGGAAACTACTCATAATACTTTTTGAAAACTCATAATACTGTCAAGGAGCATACGCTTTGTGTGCAGAAGGTCATCTGGCATCTATTTGTAGGGTGGGGAAAGATGTTTCTCTGGAAACCTCTAGAGCCATTGCCAGTCAGTGCAAGTATATTGTACCGAGTTTGATGGACTAATGGCCTGGAAGGCAGAACTACTGCATTTCTATTATAGCTGAAAGAAAGCAACTAAATCAGATCGATTTTTCCTTCTTTATTTACAGAGATGATGAAATCTATGATGACATTGCTGATGGTATGTTACACATGTCAAAATTGTAATAACAGGAGATCAAATCAACTGAAATATTTTCTTTTGCTTTGTTTTTAATTGTAAAAGCAGACACTTCATACAAAATTGTTTTCCATTTTCCCCCTCATCTAGGCTGCATATACGACAATGATTAGTTGCAGACCTCTTCCCAGCGTGAACATCTTCTCTGGATTTCCAACTCGTTGATGATGCAGGACAGAAAGTCTCTCACTCATGCTTCTTGCTGTTGTATGGACACAAAAATTAGATTAAGCTATTCCCCCAGTTTATGGACTGTGAAGTAGTGTTCACAGTGGAAGCAAAACATTTCTGAGTTAGCTTCAAATTTGTTTGGGGCCATGATGCAGACGTCTAAACTATCTCCCTTCAGTACTATGCAAAGTGCTTTTAGATCATTGAGATAATTACCCATTTCCCTTTTGCTAATTATCTCTCCCCAGCATATATTCTTCAATAGTTCACAGGTAAAATTAGGGACACTGAGATGTGTACTTGTAACACTGCTGTTCTCACATCAAGAATCACTACATGAAGTGCCCGGCCCCATTACATTTCCTCTCTATCCATAGATCTTAGCATTAGTTTCCAGAGCAATGTTACCTTAGCAAACTGACTATAACTGTTTTGTTGTTTAAAATAATGTAACAGTGTGTCATCTCATAAAGGACCTGGTTGCACTTACTGTTCAAACACCTTGCACTTATTTTTATATAAATGTATACATGTTACTAAATAAATCATGGCTGGGAAATGTAGAGCGGGGGCTGGATTTTCCTAATATGCATTATGAAGGGGTATTATGATGCATTCATTCAAATATTCATCGTCCTCCTATACATACCTATATAATTTTCACATTCTTTACCTTCTAGGGATCTGTGTTGAAACCTGATGAATTCTACTTTGTATATATTAAAATTAATAAACATTTTAAAAGAAACCTCTTTGTTTCAAAAAAGGAAAACAGTAACAAAAGGAAGACAGATTTTTTTGGGGCAGGTAGGTAGTAGAAAATAGAATTGTTTCTGATTAACAGACAGTTGGAAGGCATGTAAATATTCCTCTCTGTAAGAAAACACAGACCTACTATTTCTTTTTTAATTTTGATCTGAACATATTTTGGTTGGAAAAATATTGAACCATTTGCTCTGTTAAAAACTTCAGATGTATCCCAAGAAGTCTAAACTCTTCTACTGATTGAACTATTTATTTCAGTTGTGCAGCAGGCAGTGAAACTGTTTTACCACATTTCAATCTCCCCTCATAACAGATTAGCCTCACATCAAATCATGCTGTATTTCTGACACCTTGTAGAAATTGGGCAATCTGTCCTCTGCTGCATATTCAACAGATAAATACTATGCTACTTATGGTGAGAGTGATTGTTAAAGTTTATGTAACACATATGAAAAGCACAGCACAGGCTGTAATGGTACACTGGTGTACATATATACACATATATTCTGTACAGTTACTAGCAATATTCTGGGAGGAAGAATTAAATTAGGCCCCAGCTGTCTCACCTAACCTGCTGATGAACCATGTTGCCAAATATTTGACTAGGAAGGTACGCACCACCACACACACTATATATCAGTTTATTTGCATTCCCTCACCTCAAGAATACACAAGTGGATGCTCGTAGCTAGACTCTATGAGACAGGATATGTTACCTTTGTACACATCATGGACTATGCTTGTTAAATCTATAACTTAATAGTAGTAATTGCTTAAGAAGAAACTTCATTATATAATTGTGTGTGCTCGTTTAAATTGAATAATCCTGAAATGTCGTGCAGGGGTCTCCAGCCTTTTGGAATCAGTAGACATATTTAGGGGAGATATAAGAATAATCAGTAACAACAACAAATCAGTTATGGTGGATGTAACCAATCACAAAACACCAATTTCCTAAAAAGTCCATCATGAGGTTAAAAAGACAATTTGACCAACAATCTCAGTATAAAGCAGAGGTAGAGCTAAGTCCCAGAACACACACATGTACAAATACTATTTGAGTCCAGCTACCATTGTTAAGAGCTCATCCATTTAATAGAAAGGCAAATAAACAGTTTTCCCTAATCAGCTCTATGGTTTATTTACAGTATTCCATCAATGTATTTCACTAAATAAGATCACTGCAATCTAAACAAGACCATATATCTCAGTCATCATCATAATCTTAGAATTGCAGTGCTGGATCATCAAGTCCAGCCCCTGTCAAGGAGGCACAGTGAGGAATCAAACTCCCAATCTCTGTCTCAGCAGCCTGACACCTAAATCACTGAGCTATACAGCAGTTCATCAATAAAAGTGCATTGCAAACACAGAAGAGCCTCTCTTTCTTGCGCACTCATCAATCACAAACATACCATTTTATTTGGATCACTACTATATTCAGTACCTCTTCTCTTATACATGTGTACCCCTGAACACATCAATTCAGAGACACAAACATATATCCAAATCCTCCATCACCCAATCATATCTCCTTCTCTTCTTCAAACATCTCCTTCTTTTCCACTGTAAAATCAGACATGCTGGTGTCCAAGCTTTAATTTTGATTTGTTAATCTCATGTTTTTCTTCAGTGTAGATTTTGTCCTTAACTCTGATGATCCAGGAAACATTAAATACTTTATATATGTTCTAAAACTGCAGCATCTCTACAGCCAGGCAGTATACCAATCAGCATGGTGCTATTCACACACATTCCATTCTCCCTCCGAACTGGTTTTAACAGACTCTCCTGGCACACATCCAACTTACCACTGCCAGTCACTCACTATGCATACCAATATACACTTATATACAAAATACATACAAGGCGGAATCACCACATCTCTCCTCTCTTTCTCCTTACTTGTCTGTGATAGTGGACATTCCTTTCTGTTCTGGTGTGTAATGTCATTGCGAATGTGATGGGATCCAAAATGGGCTCATTATTGGCCTTGGAATGCAGTTGTTTTCTCATTTTTAAAAAGAAAATCATGTAATTGGTTCAAACTGTTTAGAGAAACCATATAATGCAAATTCCAAATTAAAGAGATCTGTGTGACAAGTCCAGTCATTAATATATTGATTCCACATGTAGCAGCATATTAAAAATCCCAGAGTTTCTACCGTGTTTCCCGGAAAATAAGACAGGGTCTTATATTAATTTTTGCTCCAAAAATGCATTAGGGCTTATTTTCAGGAGATGTTTTATTTTTTCATATACAACAATCTACATGTATTCAAATACAGTCATGTCATCTTGTTGCTGCACAATGGTGGAGGGTGGGGTTTCACTTAACTGGGGCTTATTTTGGGGGTAGGGCTTATATTACAAGCATCCTGAAAAAAATCATACTAGGGCTTATTTTCAGGTTAAGGCTTATTTTCAGGGAAACAGGGTAAGATTTACTTTTTAGGTCTAAAGTTTTTAAAATTCCACAGTGACCATACTGGCTAAGGTATCTTCAGAGCTGTAATTAAAAAAAGCAACTCTTCTGAGCTCTGAAAAGTTACTTTGCACATACAGAATTTCCACTGTAAAATCAGACATATCAGATATTCTACTTTTTAAGATGGATGTTTAATTCCTTGTGAAAGATCAGCAAAGGGCCTGAAATCAGAAACATCAGAGAAGAGCCACCCGGTATAGTGGTTAAACTGCAGTACTGCAGTACTGCAGTCAAGGCTCTGTCGTCCACCTGAGTTCAATCTCAAACAGCTCAAGTTTGACTGAGCCTTCCGTCCTTCTGAGGTTGGTAAAATGAGTAGCCAGCTTGCGTTGGGGGTGGGGTACAATATCTAGTCTTATTAGTTGAATTGTAAACTGAGTGCTTTAAGCACTATGGGGCAGTATACCATATAAGTCTTACACTTTCCTTTCCCTGATTATAATTACCGTGTTTTCCCCGAAAATAAGACAGGGTCTTATATTAGGTTTTTCTCCAAAAATGCATTAGGGCTTATTTTCAGAGCATGTTTTATTTATTTCATGTAAAGCAATCTACATTTATTCTTCTGGTTGCTGCACAATGGTGGAGGGTAGGGTTTTACTTACCTGGGGCTTATTTTTGGAATAGGGCTTATATTATGAGCATCCTGAAAAATCAGACTAGGGCTTATTTTCAGGTTAGGGCTTATTTTCAGGGAAACAGGGTAATCTATTGTGTTAGATAAGATCCAGGTACAAAATACTGTATAAACGAAACTGGAAAGAAATGCCTTTTTTGCCCAGTTACAAGTCTGAATGTTTTGGAATTAAAATCAAGGCATAAATTAATTTTATAAATTCTTGTAAATTCTTTGCACAAGTTTTTCTATACAGATTGCACCAGTGACAATGTGCCATGTTATTTTCAAAGTTTGATGAATGTTACTAACCAGAGATAGATTTTGTGAATGTATGAAAATTGCAGTTGCCACTTAATTAGAAAACTAACTTGGTAGCTGATTAATCATACAAGCTTTGTCTAATTAGTTAATCTATCAGTTATACCTCCAGCCTCTTGTGTGTAGGAGAAAAACATTCCTGTAGTGAAGAGTGTTTTTCCCCAGTTGATCTTTTAGAAGTGGCTGGTGGTAAAGTCATAAACATTATAAACTAGTGAAGAGGATGAGATAAATAATCAACCAACTATAGTAAATCTTTTCATTATTTAGGGGCTTCTTGTATGAAGTTCTAGAGTGCTTTAATTCCCACAGAAGTGACTCTGCACACTTGTCTCACAATGCATGTGTCTTTGGACACATTACCTTTCTGACAAAAACCAGAATTTCCCAGCCAACATGGTCTCATCTCAATGGCCAAAATCATATTGGTGATTTACGCTTGCATAAGATAAATCAAGAAGCTAATTGTTGCTAATTAATGCAATGCTAATCATGTTCCTGAGTGCCTAGTCAATTTTGATTGGATGTGAATCCAGGAGTGCATCCAGCACCTCATTAATGAGCATCAATTTGCCATTGCAACTTATATGATTTTCTTTATGCAAGCATAAACTACCAAGAGGATTTGGGACACTAAATCTATACATTGTGGAATAAATGATTTCCCCCCCCCCACAGGGTCCTGCCTGTGCTAGAAGCTGTCATTATATTGCATTGATTGGTTTGTGACATCACAAGGAAATGGGCATTCCCCTTAATATTGTTATTTTTTTAAAGTTACCAAGCATATGTTAAATTGTGATGGGGGGGATAATCTGTCGCTGTGATTGATGGGTGTCATTGGCTAGTCTTTTGTGTGCAGTAATCACAACAATACACCCATAAGAAAAAACAACATGATCACCATAATCACCCACATCTCCTGAAAAGGACAAAAAGCTGATTGCCACAGCTACAAATATTTAACTGTCCCACACACTATACCAGAACACAGAGTTCTAACTTCTGTCCTCTGAAGATGCTGGCCAAAGAGACTGGCGAAATGTTAGGAAGAAAAACCTTCAGAACACGACCAAACAGCCCAAAAAACTACAACACCCATCAGATCCCTGCGGTGAAAGCCTTTGAGAATATATAAAAAATGTTTCATCATTATTTTAGTAGTCAAGGGAAGATTATGTTCAGTGTAAACAGGAAGCATGTGACTTTTTCAAAGAAAAACCAGTCAGTTTTCTGGGTAAAACCACACCCTCAGAAGCGTAAAACCTCGATGCCTAAGTTGTTAATTAAATTTGGTAATTTTATTTAAAAAGAAAACAACTTGCACAGTATATATATAGTACCCAATTTTCACATAGTCTTTAAAACCTAAATTATTTTTCTTTTCAACACAGGATAACTGTTGTTTATCAAAAGAGAACCTATGGCCCTCCAAATGCTTTTGGTCTAGAACGTTCATCATGCCTTACTATTGCCATGTCACCTTCAGCTGAAACCGAACATCTGGAGGGTTACAGGTTCCCCACCCACCACATGTGAATGGCTATGGCCTAAATCCAATTGCGCATAGCCACAAATTTGTTGTTGTTATGTGCCATCAAAAAAAGGGACGTGGTGGCGCTGCGGGCTAAACCGCAGAAGCCTGTGCTGCAGGGTCAGAAGACCAAGCAGCTATGGCCTAAATTGCTCATAGCCACAAATTTGTTGTTATGTGCCATCAAGTTGTCTCTGGCTTATGACAATTCTATGAATGAGCACTCGCCAAAATGTCCTGTCTTCCACAGCCCTGCTCAGCTCTTGTAGACTCAAGTCCGTGACTTCCTTTAGAGAGCTACTGCATCTCATATTTGGTCTTCCTCTTTTCCGGGATGAGCACCGCCCCCTAGAGTCGAACATGACTGGACAAAAATTGTCAAGGGGAACCTTTACCTTTACCTATGTGCCATCAAGTTGTCTCTGGCTTATGACAATTCTATGAATGAGCACCCTCCAAAATGTCCTGTCTTCCACAGCCCTGCTCAGCTCTTATAGACTCACGTCTGTGAGTTCCTTTAGAGAGCTAGTGCATCTCATATTTGGTCTTCCTCTTTTCCTACTGCCTTCCACCTTTCCTAGCTAGACACCCTTGCTGGTTAGGTCCTCAAGCCTGTTGTGGGGCTCATCTTTTTGAACAACAGAAAATAAAAAGGAATGCAGCAATGCCACCATCACTGCATAGCCCTATCTACCACAATTTCTTTACAAGAATTCGAGCAAAAAGCTTTATTTCCCAATGCAGTAAAACAAGGAAACACACTTGGCTTTGGATTATAATGGGTGTGACTACAGAGGAAATGATCAAAAACCACACGCAGGCTGCAAACTGATGCATTAAGTGCCTCACATACGAACATGTGCATTTACAGAAAAGAGACATAGGAGTACATGTGTCCTGCCGTTTTCACAAATCATGCCAACCGCCTTCAGTTCAAAATTGTACCAATTATCCCGCAAATCTCTTAGGTCCAAACAGACGAAAAGGCTCACAAAACGCGTGTACGGGGCCAGGAAAGAAGGGCTTTCGTCTGAATCCTGCAGAGGTGGCAAGGGAATGAACCTAAGAGCGGGACAACAGCCCGCACCTACGAGTTTCCGTAATCGTCTTCTTTGCGAGGTCTAGGAAGCAAGGAGATCTGGCACGGCGTTCTGGGCCCGAAGCAGCAAGAAAGAGCACGATGCCTACATTTCAAAAAAAAGCATGTGCCGTTTCTTTTGCCCGTCTGTATATATCCTGTATGTGAATTCTATACGGCAAGAACAGGGCAGGTAACGTGAGGACGGCTGAACCCGCTCACAGGAGGGGAGCCGGCTGCATCCACCCTTCCTCATCCCAACCACCCCAGAGCCGCCTTCCGGCCATCCCGCCCTCAGGTTCGATCAGCCGGCCCTTCCCGCCTCAAGAAACGGAGGGCGGGCCAGAGCTCCTTTTATTCGCCGCCTCACACCGGGGGGCCACCCGCGGCCTCGCCCGCCCGCCCCTCCTTTCCCTCAGCATCCGTTCCTCCTCGGCTGAGGCGGGTGTGCGTCTATGTTTTCCAGCTAGCGCTGGTGTGTGTGTGTGTGTGTGTGTGTGTGTGAGGAGGGTGGGGGAGAAAGAGCGGGGCGGCGCGCGCCCCCAACGGTCTCCGGCGCCCTCGCAAAAAAGGCGAGCGGGCAACCCTCCCGGCCAGCAACGGCGGCGGCCTCTACCCAGCCGGGCGGCTCTCCCCCCCCAGCTCTCGCGAGAGCGGCCGAGGTTTCCGGTGTTGTGAGTGCGGGGCCGTCAACATGGCGGTGAGCCTCCGCGCCCGCTCGCTGAGGCACCTCCGCATCCGAGGTGAGGAGAACCTGGGCTCTGCCAAGAGACTTTGAAGGGAGGGAAGGAACGGCATGGCATGGAGTCCGCCCTTAACCTTTCCCAGCCCTCCCCCGGTCACTTCCCTTTCGGCCTCCCTCCTCTACGGCCCCTGGGCAAGCAAAAAACATCTTTCCTCTCCAACCCCCCCCCCCCCCCCGGCTCCCCCACACAGGCCGAAACGACAGCGGCGAGGAGAACGTCCCCCTCGACCTCACCCGAGGTAACGGAAGGGCTCTGCAGAGAAAGGAGGAGTGGGGGACCCAGAGCGGGCGCCTCCTCCCCTCACACCCTGCAGTGGCCCCCCTCTCTCCCTCCCCTCGTATATCCAGAGTGTTTATTTCCCAAATGGGAGTGAGTGGGACTCGGGCATGGGGTGAGGGAGAGGACAAGTCTGGCGGGAATCCGCCCCTGATTTAGGGGAAAGGGGTCAGAAGAAGGGAAAGGCCGACATACATCTTTCTGTCAGCAGCTCCTCGACCGCTTGAGAAACGGGGAATAAGGAACGGTGGTAGTAGGGGATGGGAAGATGACAGATTGGTCATATCTGCAGATTTGTGCCTGTCTAATCGGGGCTAACTCCTGTTGGGGGAACGGGCCCCTGCTTCTGAGTAACTGAGGCTCTATCACCCGCTCCTCCTTTACTTGGGAGTAAGGCCCGTTTCGTTCCGTGCATCTTCTGGGATCAACTTGCCGAGGATTGGCCTACGAGTTGTTCCCTTCTGCCCCGTTAGAGGCAAAAGAAGGAAAAGCTGCAGTGAGGGGAGAAAATAGCTGTAATTTGGCTGTTTTTTTTTTAAAAGAGAGCAGTACTTCTCTCTGTACAGTATTTCATTCCCTCCTCATTTGATCACTCGGGCGGCAGGGGAGGGGACATTTTCCTTTGGTGCATGGAAGTAATTTGCCATTTGTTTTGAAACACGAACGTTGAACATGTGAGGGAGGAGAGCCTGGGTTACATGGTGACAAGTGAGCCCCCAAGTCTCCTCTGTCAGTACTGGAGTCGTATTACTGTCGCATTACAGGAAGAGGAGACATCTGAGGCACAGGAGGGGAGGGGAGCTTAATGTTGAATTGTTTCCTGAGGCAGTTTTGATACATGGAGGAAGGGGAGAGTGGCATAGGAATAATAAGCGGTTGGTGGGCTGTTGATATGTATTTTTCTTTCTCTGCACACCCTCAGACTTGTTTGGTATAGCTTACCCTGGTGCAGGTGGATTATTTACAGTCTGCTGGCTGTAGATGGGGCTGTTAACAACATTAGAGCGTTTCATTGCTTGTGTATAAGATGTAGCTACCAACATTTGAATTCCAGTGAGTCTGTCCAAAGGCATCCCATTCCATTCTGTGCCCTGCCTGCAGATTGATTCTGTGTTGTCAGTGGTCTGCTTGGAAATAATCTACACTGCCTGAGCTTGTTTACAGCTAGAGTTCAATTCATGCCTTTCTGTCCCCATAAGCAAGCTAACCTTCTCTTATGACTGGGTGTAGTCTTTTAAGGCAAGCTGGTTGTTGCAATTCTTGTCGTAGTGACCTGTTTGAAAGGGCTTTAGATACTCATATTTTTTGCTGTAGAAGTTTTCTTCATAGTTTAGAGATAGTCATATGCAGTCTCTGTTTTAATTGAAAATGTACCAGTCTACAGTAAAATGTCCTGCCATGTGCTGTGTAAATATAAAGCAATTATTAGATACTATATAGTGTAACAGTTACTGCTTGTTTTTACATTATTTTGAAAATATGTTTACTGTGTTTTGATTGACTAAAATGATACACCGATATAACAGAAAGTCGGAACAGACTGTGTTTATACCAGGGAATTGAGAAGCAAACTCCTGGGCATTCTCATTCTTTGGCCAAAAGATGGGCTAGTCTTCTTCTTGCTCCAAAGTTCCTACAGGAAGGCAAAGGGTGCAACCTTATAAAGGTCCTTAATTAGTTAAGGGCAGAAGCCAGCCTGTGCTTTCTTTAGCTGTGGGGTTCCAGGGTAATTTAACAATGATCTGTTATTCCATTAACAGTTTGCACTTAGGTACAGCCTTGAGCAGGCATGTTTAATAGGATCAAGAGTGCTGCATATTATGGTTTCTAAATCCTTTGTACAGTGAATACTTTAGATATTTGTAATAATAACAGAATATTTAGTATAGTTAATAAAACCTTCTTTAAAAGGAATGAAAAAATTGACAACTAAGAAGTAACTAATTAAAATACATAATGTAGAGGTTAGCAAAATGCCAAGTTGACCAGGCATCTTATACAATTCTTAATTCTTTCTGCATAATATTCTGTTGTTTGTTGGGGGCAGATCACAGTCATAGTGTACAGTACCATGTTGATCACTGTATGCTTGTAAGTTCTCTGTTTCAACATACTGAAGTTGCTTGGGGCCACATGACAGGAAATTTGCTTAAGTTACATCTTAATTGGGAGTCACTTGTATTGGGAAGATGGAATGCAATATGGAGAACAGAACAAGTTATTGTTTAGGGTTGTAATCAGAAGGAGATTTGCTTGTGTTTGGAAGCATAATTTAGTTCACTAGTTCTTCTTGCATTCAGCTCATGTACTTGTCAAATCTACATTTAAAAGTCTGCTTTTAACCATGCTAATCAATGTCTGTCTATTTTCTGCTTTATTAAAAATGTGTATTTTATGCTTTTATTTGAAAGTCTTTAAAGCTGTGTAGTTTGTAGGGAAATTCTTTTGCCCCAAGATTAGTTTCAGAGTTACTTTAATTTTCTATATTGGCAAATGTATGTCATCTTTGTGTTCTCATTTATCGAATGTTTCTTGTTTCCCTGGGCTTTTATGGCTGTGCTTGTTCCCATGTTGTGTTAGGGCTTCTGTTTACTACAAATGGGTATAATATGTGACATTCTTTCTCTTTTTTTCAAATTTGCTTCAGTAGATTTCTATAGGTATATGTTCCTGGGAAACTGATGAATTTGTTAATTGCTCTATGTATTTTCTAAAAGTAACTGTGTACTAAGTAGCCTTGGTGTCTGCTGCTTGATAGTTGAAAGTGAGCACTGCTTTCTCTGTGTCTGCAGTCATTTCAACGATTTCTGCACAACCGCCCTAATATTCACTTTCAGAGCAGCTGATTGATATTAAATAAATAGGATTTGCTCAGTGATTTTTTACACTCTCATATGCACAAGTGGTTATCCGAAGGTCTTTACTCTCACCCTTGCCTGCAGGGATACAGAACTACAAGTTTTTTTCAGCCAGTTTTTCTTGGCTACATCTCCTGTCCAAAAAAATGAATGTAAATATATACAATGACTGCATAGGTTAACAATGTATAGAATTGTTATGTCAGTGCAGACTGTTAGACTCTGTCTTTTAAAGTTTAAAACTTCTATGCTGCTTGACACAATGAGTTTGCTACATTCCAAACAAACAACCATACTGTAGTTTCATGTTGCAAAATGTCCCACTGGGAACAAAAATCAGAAGTATCTGTGGCTAGGCTTCCATAGATGTGGAACCATGACAAATGTAGTTGCTTTCAGTATCTTCTTGTACATCTCATGTTTGTATGAGCGCAGAGTAGGAAAGCATCTGTTCTCTGTTGTCTTGTGCATCATAGACAAGTGGAGAGACAAGGAGCCTTGTTTCATGTCAGGTAAAGGGAGAGAGTCAGCACTTCCATTTGCAGTTCTGTGTATGTATGTATCAAAGAACTCAGGAAGGGTTACAGGGAGACAGGATTTGTGGACTGGTAACTATTGAGATAGCATTTTGGGTGTAGATGGTTGTTGCAATGGTTAGTGCTTGAAAAAAAAACATGGGACACTGCCCAATATGAATGCAGAATTATACGTCCATCTAGGCTGCGTTTTGTTTGATTGACGGGAGCTCTCCGGAGTCTTTCATATCAAAAAGTTGGAGTTCAGTAGCACCTGGTGTTCCCAGGTAGATTTCCTTCTAATACTCTACTGGCCAGGATTTCTGGGAGATGAAGTCCAAGAACATCTGGAGGCCCAAGGTTGGGGACCACTGTTCTAGATAATAACCAGGTAATTAAAGTGGCATGGCTGTAGGAAATGCTGTTTAAAAAGTATTTCTAGTTGACAGATTTGAGCTTTTAAAACTAAAATTGTAATAATAGATGATACTAAAGGTACACAGTTATCTCAAGTGTCATACTTGTTGATGTAGTCATTGTAATGCAAAAGATCTACCTTTAGCAATCTTGGAAACAATGCTGTCACTTCCTTTACTGAGAGTTTGGTCTTCCATGTTTTAAAATATTTTATTATGGAGGATAAATCGTCAGTGCTTAGTATATATCATATATCTACCAAAGCTATTTTTCTATTTTTTCTACATCTTCGTCCTGAGGCTAACTGATTTTTATTCTCAATTCCAGTGGACCATTTAAAAAACAAATGTTTTGCTTAACTGAGCTTCTATTAATTAACACTCATGACAACAGTTCTAGAGTTGACATTTAAAAAAATGAAATATTTCAAAATATGTTTTTTGTCTTCTGCCCTTCCTACAAAAAACTTAAGGCAGCACTTCGATGACACATCCTGTTTTTATCTGTGAGCCAGTCCTGTGGGGTGAATTAGCCAGAAAGGGAGTAAATTTATAGCTCAGGAAGGATTTGAACCCACATCATTGTCTTACAGACTGAACACTTTTTTGTGTTACTCTTGTGTTCTTTGGTTCAGAACAAATCTTTAAACAGAATCTGTGGCAACAACAAATATGTATAAAATGAATAAGCATCACGTTTACATTAATAATAAACGTTTCATGTTGTAACTGGCTGATCTGAAGATGATTTTGAGAGGTTGCAGCTATTTATTTGTTTTAAATATTTATATCCCGCTTTTCTTAAAAGGACCCGAGGCAGATTAAACTACTGAAATTACTACAGCTTTTGATTATACTACCGTATTTGCCAGCGCACAAGTCGACCGGCTGCATAAGACGCCCCCCCCCCACAGGAGGAGGAGGAAGAGAGACTGCTGGAAGTACACAAAGAATTTAAAATTCCAAGCCAGACTCTACCTAATGTCCAGCTATATCCAGTTGCCATTTAGGGAACCTTGAAATGCTGCTTTTGCTTTTGCTCTAATCTTTACATCTTATTCACCCCCCCCCGAGGACAAATAGGCCTCACATCTACTCCACTCTCTTCATTCTGTGGCACATCCCTATCAACTGTGCTGCCTGTCGGGAATTGAATTCCTCTTCCATGCCAGC